CTATATTTTTAAATAGAAAAAGATTATAACGGCTCACTAATTTTGATGTATCACGAATTTGTACACACCCAGAACAGACAGTAATTTGTCCAAATGGTTTTTTTTTGAATCCATTATGAATAAACAAAAAAGCTATATATATTCAGCAAAAATCGTAAGGTTGTTTGTATTTTGATGTACTGGATTTAATTGAATCAGATATGAATCTTCCATCGTCGGACAATACATCAACATTACCCTCAGAATCCACGAGACATCCACCAGATGAAACTACTGTAGGTGATAATAATGAACGTCAAGTCGTAGACAATTCCAATAATGATGCGACATCTATCCCGGGCGCTAGCATTATAACTGTTGGTCCCGATGTTAATAATAAAAAAGAGGATGAAAAATTCTACGGTTCGAAACATGCTCTTAATAAAGTTGGTTCTAATCTTAAAAGCTTTGTTGGATTTATAGGGCCTGGCTACAGTATGTCTTTGGTATTAATCCTGGATTAATATTCTTTAAACGAAGTAATTCTCACTTTTATTTATTTATTTATTTATTTATTCAGTTATTGCAGTCGGCTATCTTGATCCGGGTAATTGGGCCACTGATTTATCAGGTATGTAGATATAACAATCTGATATATAGTAATCGACATAGATTACAAGAATGGGTTTAACTTAACCGAGTTTTGGTTAATTTTTTCTTATTCTTTTAAATTTATGTGATAATTAATTGATTTGCTGTTTTATTATTCGGCTTAATATTATTATATGATTCTAAGGTGGATCTCAATTCGGTTATTCGCTTCTTTTTATCATATTTCTTTCAAATCTTATGGCAATGTTATTGCAAGCATTAGCCATAAAATTAGGCGTTGTGTCAGGACTGGGTATGCTTCTTCTTAATTTACTTTTCATATAAATATTATAAATTTCTAATATAAATATATATATATATATATATATTTTAGATCTTGCACAAGCTTGTAGAATATTTTTACCAAAACATCTGAACTATGGACTATATATATTATGTGAACTAGCCATAATTGCGTGTGATCTAGCTGAAGTTATTGGCAGTGCAATTGCTATGAATCTTCTTTTCAATCTTCCATTACCAGCCGGTGTTGCTATAACTGCATGTGACATCTTAATAATTCTGTTCATCTATCGAGATAATGACATAAAAGCTGCTCATGTATTTGAAATTCTTCTAATGATACTAGTTGGAAGTGTAGGATTTTGCTTTGTAGTAGAGTTGGTCTGTATTAAATTTGTTTCCTTCCATATTTAAGGTTTTATATATTAAAATTTCATTGCTCCTTAGATTTACTCTAAACCAAATAGTGTTGATGTGCTAAAAGGGTATTTACCAAGTTCTGAAATATTCACCAATTCCGAACAATTATACATTGCAATTGGTATAATCGGTGCAACCGTAATGCCTCATAATTTATATTTGCACTCTCATCTGGTCAAAGTAAGAAAAAATCGTGAAGAATCCAGAGGATTCGATGAAAAAATTGACGAAACTCCTAAAAAAATTAAAGTCAAGTCAATAGTTGATAGAACTTTGAGATTGTCTACCATTGATTCGTCAGTAGCATTAGTATTTGCCTTATTCATCAATTCGGCATGTATCTAATTTCTGTTCCTGCTTTTAATTTATTTATTTAATCTTTTATAAAATTTAAATTAACATTCTGACAATTCATATGTTATAGGCAATATTAATTGTTTCTGCTGCAAACTTTTTTTATGGTGATCCTAATCGTTCACAAACAAAACCTGCTGATCTTTTTGATGCGTACGATCTTTTGACTTCATATTTAGGTAAAGCTGCTGCAACCCTATTTGCCATCGGATTGCTAATAGCAGGTAAATATTATATGCATATGGTTTAATATTTAAACCAGAATGTTAATTATAGTGTTTATTAATCATCGATTTACATGGTTAGGTCAAAGTGCAACACTTACCGCCACAATGGCTGGTCAGGTAGTGATGGAAGGATTTGTAGAATGGAAATTAAGACCTTGGGTGAGAAGGTTGATTACCAGAGGTTTTGCTGTTGTACCTGCTATGCTTATTGCGATTATTCTAGGTAGAAGTGGTTTAAATGACCTTTTGGTGGCAAGTCAAGTTGCATTGAGTATACAATTACCATTCGCCGTAATTCCTATGGTTTATTTTACTAGTTCTAAAAGATTTATGCAGGTTAACATTAGAGTTTTGGAAGAAAGGGTTATGGCCGATAAATTAAACCACCAAGTTGGAAGTTTATCACATGACCTCAATAGTATAGTTTCTGCGATTCCACTTACTCCTAATTCACCATATACTCCGACTCAGATTGTTAGTGTTGCTAATGAAAATAATGTGTCTCAGTCTCCTGATGACGATATCTTAGACTTTTCAAATCCCATTTTACTTATTATCATTTCAGTTATAATTAGTATTGTTATTCTTGGGTTAGATTTGTTTTTAGTTTATACCACCATTAAGGATGCTATTGTTGGATAGAACTTTTATTTTTTTACTACTGGTAGTACCAAAAATTAATATATTTGTAATAAATTTGTATTTTTTAAATTTAAAGGATTGTGGTGTTGCTTTATCTAATGATGTTTATGATTAAGGGTTTAACGTTATTTGATAAATTCGATAAATTTATTTTCCAGGGCGCATAGTAATTTTGAAATGACTTTGCTAAAAAGAAGCCGTGTTTCAAATGCTAAGCAAACTTGTATAAAACACTAAATATTGACAGAGTTATGTTACAACACAGTGTTAGATATGAATTTTTTTTTGTTAAATTTATGGTTTGATTCTTCACCGATTAATCTATCCCGATTAGTTAAAAATTATAATGTTTTCTAAGATCTTCCTTTCTCTCCAAATCACAAATCATCATGGAAACATCCTACAGCCCAACTTTTTCTTCTCAGCCTCGATAACGTGTTTGATAACATATTGATAAAGGAATTCCATTTTATATTATATAAGCGAAAATGGATTTCATTCCAACAAGCAGAGCCCACAAACTTCGATCACGTTAAAAATTTCTTGCCAAAGTGATCAGTGTTACAAAATTGTAACACATACATGATTTTTATTTTAAATATTAGGTTATTGTGTTGTATTTTATATAAAGGTGTTATTCAAAAAGCTAGGTCATTAATTAGAATATAATATATTTGGAAGTAAACGCGATTTTTTTTTTATCGGGTAAATATTACAAATTCAGAAATTATTCGACGAATTACTAATTATGTGGGATGACGCGGTCATTTGTGCTGGTAAAAGTTTTTGCAGAAGGGGTGATTTTCTGTACTGCGAGGTGATAGTCCATAAGCCGACTCTGTAGTAAAAGAATAAAGTGAAATGCGCAAAATCTATATAAAAACCAATGAGGCATTAAACTTCTAAACCATACTTTAAACATAAACTTGTTCGATGACTTCTTTAAGGTTTCATATAATTATTTTTAGACTTTATCATCGTTCTAAGAATTAAAATTGCAATTAATTAGAATCAAAACATAATTAGAATCAAAACACAATTTTAGTCGAAATCTTTACCTTTTCTTGGTTGATTCTCTTTTGCGTAAATTTTACATCGAATGTACCACCATTTATACTCTTGTTTATATACATTATTTATTTACACCACTAACTGTTGTCTCATTTACGGTTTGATAATCAATATGAATTCGCGTAATTGTTTATTTATTCATAATTTGTTATTAAAACCATTATCAATACGACATGAGTACGTTTTTTCCACTTCTTTTGCTCA